AAAAATGTATTTACTTTTTCAGAGCAACATCACACCATACATGCTAATCACTAGGCCTCCCATGTTTATTCTCTTTTTCTGTGTTCGTGACAAGATGCCTTCTGACGACCAGGTAATTTAGCTGTCTGGCTGCTCGTTCGGCTAAATCGAAACAAATCGGACGACAACACAGCTCCCACAAGCCCGTCTTCCTCTCACTTTTACCTTCTGGCCTAATTTCAGATGTGTTCAGTGCTGTGAGTGGCGTGTCTGAGGAACATGAGTGGGCTGCTTTACTTTTAGAATCAGTGTGGAGAAGCTTTGCCCTGAAGCTCTTCTGTAAGTGGGCGTCTGTTAACACAGCGAGTCCACCGCAAAGGAGGAGAGTTTGTCAATCTCGCACTCGCTTTGATAGTAGGTGGAAGATTACTCGCTAACGTTATGGCGGAACAGAGAAGAGTTATGAAAAAAGCAGAGTGTCACCGAGATGATCTGTTGCGCTACTGTATGTCCGTTGCTGTTAAAAACATTAGCTAAACAGTCGCTTTGTGAACGCAGTCACTTGGTGACTTTGAAAAATGGCTGTATGTAAGCCATGTGTACACACACACCCTCTTATGCTTTGTTCAAACATATAGTGGTTTTATCGCTGAAGGTCGATGAGTGGCTGTATTATTGGGCCATATAGGGCGTTCCTACTGCTGGGTGGCCTGTTATTGTTAACTTGCAAAACTAGCAATAATCTAATTACAATTAAATGGAAATAAATCAGTTTTCTTGTCTCTAGAATGAAATGGAGGGGAAAGATTTGACTGTAGTAACATTTCTGAAATGTATTATGCATCTTATTGATGCATGAATCAATGCTGGCAATATCAGAGTTCTCCATGCATCATTTTTTTTCTAAAACTAAATCACCCTGCAAACTTAATAAAGCTAAGTTGGTAATGCAAGGCACTAGCAACCCCAAAGTCATAGGTTTGATTTATAGGAAAAACAAACATATTAATGTAAACCTTGACATTGTTGCATTGGATAAAAGCATCTGCCAAATGCATATGCAATGACCGGAAGATATTAATCATGCAGAATAAATAATATAAAACAATGAAATTGCTTATAATAAATGTTAACATGGATTCTATACCTATTCCTAAAATCGATCTTTTACTCTACTTGAGTTATGAATATGAGTTTGCAGAATGTATTGATTATGCAATAAAAGACTGTACCAGGAAGTAATCGCAAAAAAAAACAAAACTCAAAAAACAAACATACAGTGTGCAAGAGTATTGTTATCATTAACTTAATCTATTAAAAATCATTTTCATTAATTGAAACATAAATATCAGACTAAAAACTTATTTTATTTTAGTTAGTTGTCAAGGCAAAATTTCTCATTTTAAGTTAAAGTGCTAAAACTGAAATAAAAACCAAATTATAGCTACAAAGAAATATTAAAAAACAACTAATAAAAATGGAAAAAGGCCATAACATTTATAAAATGTACATTTTTATTTTATTTTTTATAAATACTATAATAGTACATGCAGTACATCATATTAAAATGGCATGCAACAATGTAGTGTGAATAAATAAATAAAAATGATCTTATGTGCTGGTTCTTTTTAATAAATCAAAGATGCAAAATGCGCAGTAGCCAGATTCAAAAAACAAATGACTCTTACAAGATGGTTCTTTTAATAAATAGGTCAAAAAGACAAGTTACTGGATTAAATGCATCTGAAACAACTTGCAGCATCATCCAAAGATAATTTATTTCAAACTAAAGTAAAATGTAAATTATAACATACAGTACCAAGTAACAAGATGAATCAACACCCAGTTTTAATAGTAGAACTAGTAAACTTTTCTCATCGCACTGCAAACGGTCGCTGACTGTCGGTCATGTCAGATATGGCCGGCTCTTGTTGAAAATCAAATGTCTTCTGGTCACTTTGTCGGTGCAAATCGGCGTCAACGTGAACGCCCCGGTAAAGACTGGCAGCACACTCACACACCCACACACCAATCTAAACAGCTCAGTGCAGCTCACATGTAACCAGACAGCATATTCTCCGCCTGCTGCCTCTCTTGTTTGTATTAGGGCAGCTCGGCCTTTCCTGTCATTGTGCGTGCCGGAGATCTTGTGTGTTGTTGGGATCGACTAAGCACTGAATCACAGATGAGGACACACGCACACACAATCACTGCCTGAACACTGACACAGTTTGACTAGTAAACAGTCTGTTGGCACTAATCAAGCCAGGGCGAGAGCTGAGAGTTGAGAGAGAGAGGGGCGAAAACTGTCTCCCTCTGTTCTATTGATAGAGCTGTTTGACTGACAGCCGGGAAGGGCAGTGGAAAGAAGGACATCGGGCTGGCAGCAGAAAGAGAGAAAAAGAGTGAGTGAGAGACATAAAGATAGACAGATAGAGCGAGAAGAAGGGGGGAGTTCGCAATAATCCACAGTAACCAGGTCACTGCTCTGTTCGCACTGGTGAATATAATACTCATCAATCTGTTGTTGTGCCTTAGAGTTCACTCAGATTATCAGAACGCCACATGAGCCTACAGATCTCACACACAGAACGAAAGAGACGAGGACCAGAAGATACAGTATAAACACTCACATCCTCAAAACATAAGAGGAAGTGCAGAACTCAGAGAAGTAGCCCCTACATGACTACCGGTACTTCCCTATGATCAAAACATTGTCAAATGATTAGCTAAATAACGACACTATCCCACGAGGCCACGGGACAGGAGTTAGTGTTCTTAAACAGTGGAGAAAAACAATAAGGCTGATGTCACATGACAGTGTTAACACTGTGGATGTAGCATGTTCAAATTGTATTGATAATACACACATGCATGCATTCGTATATTATGTACATTATTATTGGTCAATAAGTTCTTCATCAAAAGCAGCAAATATGTACGATTAAAATGGTATACTTGCTAGTGTTCTTGTTAACTAAAATTATTAAAAATAGTTTTTGGCAATTTAAATATAGCTGAAATAAATAAATAATAGATTAAATACCTCACAAAAATGAGAAATGTTGCTTTATATGCTCACCAGGGCTACATTTATTTCCTCAGAAATAAAGAAAAAACAGTAGTACTGCAAAATATTATTACAATTTAAAATAACTGTTTTGTATTTTAATACATTTTTAAAATGTAATTTATTCCTACAATGTCAAATGTTATTATTCCAGTCTTCAGTCTCACATGATCCTTCAGAAATCATTCGGACATGCTGCTTTTGATGCCCCAGAAGCATTTCTTTTTATTATCAATGTTGAAAACAGTTGTTTTGATTAATATTTTTGTAGACACCGTGATACTTTTTTCAGGATACTTTGATGAATAGAAAGTCACACTTGATCAAATGAATGCATCCTTGCTGAATAAAACTGTTAATTTCTTTAAAAAAAAAAAAATAAAAAAAAAATTGCTGATCCCCAACTTTTGAACGGCTATGTACATACTATATATACACAACAGAAATATTAGTGGTTTGGAAGTACTCTCTCTTGAACATGGAGGGATACCGAAAGGGATACCATGGGTGAAAAAAAAAAAGAAAGAATGAAGTAAAATAGCTTAGGTAATGGGAAGGCGGGCAGAAAAGTAGGCAGAATAACGAAAAGGAGACAGCCCATCGCAAAGAAAGGAAGGAAACAAGGAAAGTGTGGCCTTGAGAAGAACGACATATATGCAGAGGGAGGGATAAATGTCAGGGGAGGAAAACTGGGAGTTTGTGATCCCACGTTACTCACTCTCTCCCTCGTTCTCAGACCGTTCCCCACCATCTCACACACTCGGAATCCTTAGAGACCGAGAAAAGAACATGGCAGGAAGAGGGAGAGAGAGGGAGAGCGGGTAGGCGGCAGCCTCCTGTGGCTGCTCATCGAGAGTTTCCTGTGTGGATTTTCTGCTGTTTTACCCCGAATTCTTAATCTCCTATAATCTCGGTCACTCTCTCACAGGTCGCACACTAAGGGCTGCTGTTATCTAAACCCTTTAAAACATATTTACACCCTCTCACACACACAAAACTCAGTGAACACACTCACAGGAATGAGTCGTCACTCACTCCAGCTGATAACGTTATCCTCAAAACACACGCCTGTTGGCACAGATGTAGCTGACAGTCTTTACATAGACACACACATCAGTATGACTGCTCAGAAGGATGCAACCAAGAATTCCCAGAATGTAATCAGCTTCCCAAAACATTGTAAAACATTATTCACTGCCTGGACATAAATTACTTAACTGGCTGTTTGTTCTGCTTAACATTTAATCTTGAATGAGTCTTGAATGATTGGTAAAAACAGCCTATGTCAATGCCAGCGATGTTCAAAGATGTCTGTCTGTCCCTTACATTTGAATTACTTCCCACATATCAGGTCTGCTTGAATAACATGGATGGAGCCATAACTGCTGGAGCCTGTTCCAACTGACTATTCAAAGCATTACATTATGCATTTAGCTTCAAGCATAGGGTTGGCCAGCAATAAAAACAACTACTGCCAAATGACTCTTAAGAGTTTGTTTTACTGAATCAAAAACATACAGTCTGAGTAAATGTAGTCCAATTCACTAGCCAATGACTCTTGTGACTTGAGCTGGTTTGAATCGTTCAAAAAGACTGCTCGACTCACAGGTTACCAGTTTGAAAAATCCTTCACTGACTCTTTCAAATACACATCCAAAATCATAGTACACTAAACTATACCAAAAAAGCCCAGTTTTGAGCTAATATTACCCACAAGTACCCTATGAAAGAGAAGAGTCATGTTTAAACTATGTATGAACTTGAAAGTCGTTTTAAGATAACAAATTTAGCTAATGCTTGCACGCAAACAGTACACAGAGGTTGGTCTGTGTAATCAAGACAATTTTATGATAAGGTGTCCCAATACTACATTCCAAAGTGTACACTTTCCCCTTATTAGCAAGGTACATAAATGTAAAGCATAGTCCAAGTATATTAACTGGGACAAAGCCAAAAAAACAGACTGAAAAGCAGGCTCTTATCCATCAACAATAGTCCAGTGGATAAATTACATTCTCAAAATGTGACAGCCTCCCATGGAAATTAATAATATCTCTGGATATTTAAGAGACTGTGGACAGTGACGTCCAATAAAAACCTTTAATTTTGGACACATAAAAGCCAGTTGTATGGAAAATGACCAATTAATCATTGAGCGGACTCTCTTATTTACTCTCCAAAGCTATGCCTACCCCAAAACACATGAACACACACAGGTAGACCAGAGGCAAACCAGCATCACAATGAAAGACGACAACTCAATGCTGTCAGATTACTTAATGTCTCATTCACCGGTGAGAAAACTTTACAGTACAAAGCGCATAATATTACAGTAAATATGCCTTTCATTCTCGCTCGGTCTGCAATAGCGCAATGGAACGCGCTGATGACGTATAATGTCAGACAGCGTGAACAGGGTGCGCGGAGATATGCAAATACATATGTTGACAGGCAGGTAGAACAGCCTATCGTAGTCCTCAGATCATAAAATATGATTGGACGAACATTTTATGGTCCTGCACTGTAAAAAAATGCAACTGCATATTTTCCAGTATAGGAAACATTGAGTCTCAAACGCTAAAAAAAATGCTATTTTCTTGAAACTACATAAAAACCCTTGTCAGACCAAAAAAAATTACCTCAAATGTTGTCCCAACTAGTCAAACACAGTTGTCTGAACGAAGAATTTCATATTGTTGAAATGTTAAGACCTTGTCAGTTCCCAGCATGCATTGCAGCATGAATAAATTATGCAGTTACTGTTATAGGATTATTGTTTTGCTGTTTGCTGACTTCATTTAAACTTCATTTTGTTGTCGTTTTGTCATTATTGTTAGTTATTTGTTGTACTGTGTCACCGTTCTTGAGGTTTGTGTTTTGAGGCCTAGAGTATGTTCAACCACTTATATCCATTTCCTAGAAATCTTAGTCTTGTAAGATGTTTAACAAACAAAGACAATGCTGTCTACATATTAGACTAAGTTATCCATTAAGGTTTCTATAACAATTCACTGTTTACCATTCGTAAATAAACATAACATTGATAATGTGGTGACTTTTTATACAACATTTTTTTTTCATCCAGGAAACAGAAACAAATTAATTACCTCAACGACAGCAATTATTGTTTCAGTTGCTGTGACAAGAATTTTTCTATTAGCAAAATAAGACAATCAGCATTGTATGAACAAACAAATTTACGCTTGCTAAACGATGTATCTTTACTGAGAAGAAATGAAAAACTATTGAGAGAATCGTTTTACGTTTTCTCAACTATTTATTTTTTACAGTGTACGCCTTCCACAGACGATATAGACCACTTAACTTTTTTATTGTGATTAATATCGGGATGTGAAGACACTTTCAACCAGCATAACAAAAAATGTTTTTGAACCAAATCACCTACCATGCCTTTAAACCCCAAAAATAAAAACAGTGTCATTCTGTCATCAATCCTATAGGATTTCCTTTGTGCTGGAGCATACAATATTTTGGAGAACGTTGGCTTCTAAACAACACTGGACCCTATTGACTTTCATTAGGTGGACAAAAAACATTTGAAAAGATATTTTTCAAAATCCCATCTTTTGTGTTTCAAAGAAGAAAGTCAAACAAGTTTGGAATGACATGAGGGTGAGTAAATGATCAGAATTTAAATTTTTGGGTGAAATATTCCTTTAAACATCTTGTTTAAGGCCAGAATGGTAATAGTTCATGTCTTGCCTATTATAGGATTTAAACCTACAATAGTTTGATTACCAGTCCAGATTTTTTTTAAATTAGATAAGCTATCCTTAGGTAAAGCAATTAACGCTATTATCTGTAGCCTATAGTGTTCAATAATTCTGATGCTTCTGAAAAAGTTTTGTTCCACATGAATGTGTACTTTCCTGATGAAGTTATGTGTGTGTGTTTGTAACTGACCAGTGAAGAGGTCTCCGTTGCTGTAGGCTTTGCCCCGGCCCTCTTCGTCGTTGGGCACAGCCGACACCTGCTTAGCCGAGGTGCAGCCCATGGCCTCACTCCCTCCCCCCTCTCACCATCTCACCTGAGAGAGACAGAAAACACATTCAACAAGGAGGCTGACAGTGTACGATTAAAGGCAGAACGGACACACTATTAGCTCCATTAGCGTCTCTGCTGGGTTACGTACTACCGATCATCAGGAAAAGAAAACACATCCGAGTTGAGCCTGAACAGATCCAGACATGCTTTCCATCACAGCCCGAAGCCAGACATACAGATTAATCTTTTTTTTTCACCCCGTTACTTATGAACATGTGTATCTTCAAAGTGAACCCAGGCCAAGACCAACACAAGATACACACAGCAGCACCAAAAAGCATTTGGACACACTTACAAAGTATGAATGTCACTGAACAAAATATCAACCCAATGGCATTTACACAGAAAGAAATATAGCAAAACGTGTAGGGAAGTCTGTTAGACTTTTAAGGATAAATCAACAGATAAGTTTGTTCAAAATGAAGACAAAGCATTTTGACTGTTTCTGATTGTCAAACATCAATGGAAAATGTTCATTAGGGCGTCGAATCAACTTTTTTTTAATTTAAAAAAAAGATTTCCAAGCAATCAGTGCAATATAAAGTATGTATGTGGTGTGACTTACGTATCCAAACAGAGTGCTGCAGGGATGACGCATTTTTGTAGACCAAAACCCGGAAACGAGTTAGCATTTTAGCATTTCCAGTTACATCGGCATGCAGTTGAAAGGTTTTTTGAATGGGTTATTGGTTAAATGCCTAAAATATACTCTGTGGTTAACATAAACACAAGATAAATTCATGTTTTATTCTATGACACAAAATATATCAGTAATACACCCTCTAAGATTTCACTGACATAGGCGGTTGCCAACAAGTGGCTAAATGGGACTACAGAGGTTGTCAGGGACAAACATCATGCCGAACAAGTAAACTGATCTACTCGCAGTGCAATAAAAATATGTTTTAGCCTATTATCACTGACAGAACAATTGTCAAAATATAATTTAGCTGCTGTCTTTTTAAAATCTGTGCTTTTATGTTGTTTTGGTTGTGAATGACTTTTTAATGAATCTGTTGAGTCCATGATTAAAAGAATCACTCATAATATTCAAAAAGATACTTGTTTGTCAACACCCATGAGCGTAATCACATAAACTACTGTATGAAGGCACAGAATGAACCAGTAATCTGAATGTGTATTTTTGGTCAACTGAATCAATCCCATGTACTAGCTGAGAGGATTCAAATATAAGGCCCCTGAACAGAATCAGCTATCAATGTTAGAATCGACTCCCAATGCCTTGGAATCTAAGAACCACTTCTTTTTGAGATTGACTCCCAGTCCTAATGCCCACAGTTAATGTGATGAACTATACCTAGGACAACGGTGTAAAAAAATGACTTCATGGATCAACTAAAATAACCTTGCTCCCAGCTGGTTAAAATAAATGGACAAAATGGCCCATAAAAGTGAAGTTAGTTCTAAGAACACCATTAGATAAATCATTTGTTTACAATGCCACTTCGTTGGATTTTTCCCATCGAATGCAGTGAGATTCAAAATACAACAGGATTTTTAAATGAGTTCTTGGTGAAATGTCTGTGGTTAATACAAGCTCAGGATATTTTAACATTTTATTCTGGCATAAAACACATCAGTAATGATTTTATTTGTCTTGAAAAAGGCAGATGCTAACAAGTAGCGAAATGGGTTAACAGAGGTTTTCTTGGACATTAAACTTCATCACGCCAAACAGTCACTAGTCTGCTTTTAAACTCTCACAATTGAGCTCTTGCAAACTATTCAACTCAAACTTTCAGGGAAAATATTTTTAAATAAAGACTGAAAGAGTTGTCAGAAGCTTAGCTTTTTACTTCTGGCAAATGTATTTAGGTATCAAAATGTAAAAGTTGTGTAAATTTGTTAAGATTATAATTATTAACAAAACATGTAAGAATCATAAACTTTTGTCACAGAGCTTATTTTCTTGCAGTAATGCAATGGAACAATCCTATAGGGCTTTTGTCAAGGGAATCAGGGTGATTTTCAGGTTGGCCTACAAAACACGTAAATCACTGCAGTACTCTAGATGTTTTGCAGCCATTGCATATAAAAACACCTTCAGAATTTGCGGCAGAGATATGAGAACATCTCATCCAGAAAAAAGAGGGAAAAGAGGGGGACAAATTGAGAGAGGACAAAACAGAGGAGAGCAAGATCAAAAGAGCCGGCTACTCCTCCTCCCCTCTCTTTCCTCGTTTGAAGTCGTCAGGAGGGGCAGTGTTTAGCTCTGCCTTTAGCAGCACGGGGCGAGGACAAAGCACCAGGTGTACAGGCGAGAGAAAAGTGTGTATGTGTGCACAGATGAGCCTGACCGCTCTCTGCTGCTAGTCTTGAGTAAACAAGATCTGCTTCTCAAGGCTGCAGAGGTTTGGTGCGCCATCCCATAAAAGCCTGTGAAAGTATAATCACCCACTGTAGGGGTTTTCGATGAGGAAGTGTTTAGATTTACACCATCTCAAGTCTGAAACGAGTGTTATCCATTCAAGTTGCTCATCAGGATTGGAAAGGCCTTCATTTGTGAAGTTCTACACATGCTCTGCCACTTGTTTTGCTGATAAAATATACTTGGCTAATTTGACAATGCTTTCAGTTACCAATAAGAGTATAGTACTTTAAGCTCAGCTTAACATATTCTCATGTTTAAATTCATTTTTCCCTTCAAATAAATGCAGAAACGCTTGAAGAAAGCATAATTTGTCACACAAAAATTACTGAATTCAGAATAGCATGCTATCCAATTCAACATCCTATTCCAAAAATTTCTTCAACTAATTGTGGCCCTTTTTTAAAAAAAAAACATCTTTTTTTTTTTTATATAGTGCTGAAAAAGAGCAAAGATAAAAATGGATTTATTCATCCTTGTGTTACCTAACAGAGGTTGAGAAGTCTATTCACAACTCTTGCGACTGAGCCTGAGACATAAACAAGAAGCCATCTGGGCACTTGTGTGAGGTTCACTTTCTCTTGCGCAGACAGAACGTTGACTTCTGTGTTCTGTAAAAGCTGTGTGTATACATGTACCAAGATCAGTGACTGGATGTGTTTCTATACAGGTCATGTGTGTCATGCATGGCATGGTCAAATAGATCATTTGTTCAAGAGAACAAGGGAGAATTATCAAGTCACATTTTTGAGGCACATCCAGGTATTTATTTATAAGGATAAAATGATATTAAAATTCTGACTATAAGCCAATAATTATTTTCACATTAAGGCTGATAACTGATAAATTGCTGATATTAAAAATTAACTATTTGTCTAAAAAAAGAAACACTAAAAACTAATATTTTTTTTTACATGAGAATTTAGGAATTTTAATGTACACTATGAAAAATGAATATTCATACTTTAGATGTATTAAAGATTACATGTAACAGTGATTAAAAGTAACAGTAAAGACTTTTACATTGTTACAAACAATTCTATTTCAAATAAACGCTGTTTTTAATCTTCTATTAATCAAAGAATGCTGAATAAAATATTACAATTTCCACAAAAAATAAGCAGCATATCTGTTTTCAATTAATAACAATAAAATGTTTCTTAATGATTGATTTCTGAATGATTTCTGAAGGATCACCAAAGAGTGAGTGTATGCATGTATGTATGTATGTACGTATGTATGTATATATATATATATATATATATATATACATATATATATATATATATATATATATATATATATATATATATATATATATATATATATATATATATATATATATATATATATATATATATATATATATATATATATATATATATATATATATATATATATATATATATATATATATATATATATATATATATATATATATATATATATATATATATATATATATATATATATATATATATATATATATATATATATATATATATATATATATATATATATATATATATATATATATATATATATATATATATATATATATATATATATATATATATATATATATATATATATATATATATATATATATATATATATATATATATATATATATATATATATATATATATATATATATATATATATATATATATATATATATATATATATATATATATATATATATATATATATATATATATATATATATATATATATATATATATATATATATATATATATATATATATATATATATATATATATATATATATATATATATATATATATATATATATATATATATATATATATATATATATATATATATATATATATATATATATATATATATATATATATATATATATATATATATATATATATATATATATATATATATATATATATATATATATATATATATATATATATATATATATATATATATATATATATATATATATATATATATATATATATATATATATATATATATATATATATATATATATATATATATATATATATATATATATATATATATATATATATATATATATATATATATATATATATATATATATATATATATATATATATATATATATATATATATATATATATATATATATATATATATATATATATATATATATATATATATATATATATATATATATATATATATATATATATATATATATATATATATATATATATATATATATATATATATATATATATATATATATATATATATATATATATATATATATATATATATATATATATATATATATATATATATATATATATATATATATATATATATATATATATATATATATATATATATATATATATATATATATATATATATATATATATATATATATATATATATATATATATATATATATATATATATATATATATATATATATATATATATATATATATATATATATATATATATATATATATATATATATATATATATATATATATATATATATATATATATATATATATATATATATATATATATATATATATATATATATATATATATA